ATGAATTTGACTTTGTTTTTCTCCTTGGTTGCGTGCAAGGGATAAGTAGAACTTCAACGAACACGGACTTTGGTGCAATAGGACATTATTTTAGACAGACAGTGGACTCAGTAGCAAATCACTTAACGAATAAAGGGACTAATGACTTTTCTCATATAGAGGATGATACTGGTAGACAACTTTATTTCATCTCAAAACATCCGTCAAGAGGGCCATCAATATGTCTAAAATTTCAGTATGTGAGCTGGAAATCAAGAACTATAAAAGTAGATCTTGTGGCAGCTATTAAAATTTTACCAAAATCTTTCATTCAAGATTTGTCTGCTGTTTGTGATCTGAAACCTTTTTGCAACGAAATAATTAAAACAGGGTCATATTTATTGGTGTACCCAAGGAGAATTACATTCACTGAAAGCGAGTTATTTTTCATGAAGAATACTTTATCATGTAAACACAGGATGGTTTACCAAATATTAAAATTTATAATAAATGGTCACGACGAAAATGAAAATGTTCAACATTTTCTATTTTCTCAGAGAAAAAAACATTATTCTTCATATATGATAAAGACGATGATGATTTATCACCATTATGAGTGCAGTTATCTCAGTACATCAAATATCGGACCTTGTGTAATACAAGTACTTCAGAGACTTAGTGACTACAATACCACAGAAGATTTTCCAAAACTAGCTGAAAAAATCTCGAAATTAAGTTACAAGCTTTGCCTGAAAAAATCACTGAGACCTCTTATTGTGTGCTTACAAAGAGCTGCAAAACATGAAGAGTTCTCGAAAACTGAAAAAGAACTGGAAGACCGTATACCCGTCTTGAAACGTCTCCGAAGAACAGTACCTGTCATAGACCTATCTGCGTCACATTTTAGGAGATAATTATAGAAAGTGGAACAGATTGAATACACTTAGTCCATTGCATAACCGCCTCCTAGGTCGAGGGGTAAGAGTCGATGACTTCTAATACAGATACCTCTCTGGCGTGGGTTCGATCCCCGGGAGATGCTTTGGTAGTTTAGGGCGGAGGAAGGTAGACTAGTACTGATGTAACTCTCCAGGAAAAATGGTTAGGAAACTACTGAAATACTGTTGGGATTTGGCGTAAAATGGAACAAACAAGGCATGCAGATCATGTGCGCACTGGAATGATTACGTACACCGTAACAGAATTGTGATCATACTGAACATGATTTAATATATAATAGTATTAAAGTAAAATGAATAAATAAAATTGCTGTATGTGGCTATAATGAACTTTTGAACTTAGATTTCCAATAAAATATAGATTAAAGACAAAAATTAACCCATAAAAAATACATGTATATGGACGGGAATCTTTTGTGTTGTTTAATATTCTAACATGCTTATTCTTATTCTTTTATGATAATTTGTAAGCAAAAATGCATATTATTATGTCACGTACTTATTTTTATGACATTTTAAATTAAATATATATACATATGTCATTATTAAAAGTCATGTCACGTGATTGTGTGTTATCTCATATTAAAACTCTACCTATTCATTGTTTATCATTGTTTAAATACCTTTATATTACCATATGTGATCTGAAGTGGTTTATTATTTATTGCGTTGTACTTTCATTAAATTTGTCTATTTTTTCTGTGAACCACGAAATATTATTTCTTAATTAAGATTAAGCGGTTCAATGCATTTTCATTTGCGATTTTTAGAAATATGCCGAATAAATAGACTGCCATTTCTACATGAAATGTACGAAAGTGGATATGTATGTCATTTTATAAACGCATTAAAAATATTTTCACACTAAACTTACACGAGATACATGTATATTTGAATTGTATACTAAATGTCATTAGAGGTCAGACTACTACATTGATTTTCCTATAGACTTACAATATAAGGATTGACCACTAAACCAACCTTAAAATTAAGTATTCATGTTAAAGATAAGTAATTTGTCCAGATAAATGACATCCCTAGCAAGTTAAAATGAACTTGTTATACATGTATAGTGTTGACCAAAGTTTTTTCGCAAAACGTCCCCAAAGATGATTATCCCCCTTTTCAATGTAATTTTCTGCTGATCACAGGATTGACATATAATTTTTTGTAAAATGCAAAAATCCAAATGAAAAACTATCATCGACACTTATGAAACAGTTCATTTGCATAAGAGAAAAGAATGCAACGTTAATTTCTTAAATAATTTTCATTTTTTAAACATTACATTTTTATCCAATCGCCAGATGTCCCATTGAATTGTACGGGTTTCCCTGCACTTTTGCAGCCAATCGCTTGCCATGTTACATACAAAAATCTGACCCCAATACTAATCGCATCTTCTCGGTTCTTTAAAGTTAAACAATAGCCGAGATGTTCCGATTGTCCCAAATACCCCAACTGACATTAAAGCAGCATGCCTCCAAATTCATGCTTATTTTTAAGAAAAGTTTGAAAATGTATTAAGAAGTAAAATATTGTAAAGTGAACAGAGAAAGTAATTTACACATTGCAATCGGCACTTACAATCCACATTAATTACAAAAAAAGAGGTCAAAATATACAAAAATACCTCATCTGCGTTAGTAACGCAGTAGAATTATAGTGATTGATACTGCAAAAGAAGTCATTAATCGCACATAACATGTAAATAATTAATTAGATATTGAATGTGTTTACTTTTCTTAAGATCTTAATACATTTTTCTAAAGATTGAATTTCTTGAAATATTTTGGCTCATCTGGAGGCATGCAGCTATAAGCGAAAAGAAACTTTTTAGAATTAATTATCGCAGCGGCACGTTTGGTAGTCTGGTCTTGGGTGAAAAATTCAATTTACGTTTTTGTTGGTAGCAATATGTATAAGCAATGAAAATGTATATTTATGGTTCTCGATCTGGACGAGGCACTACTGCTGGAGCTTGGTTTGTAAAAGTTTAGACATTGAAAAAATGACATTTTTCAACAAGAATGTCAGAAATTATGTTTTATATCCGTTGCAAATCTAGTTAATACAAATTAACTTTTTTAGATTTTTTTTAAAAATCTAGGTCTAACAGAAGCGCCACAAGGTTTCAGAGGGAAATCACGATCCATACAAACATACATGTATATATTATTGCCTTAATCTACATTGTACGTTCATTCTAATACGCAATTATATACATGTACTTGCTCAATATTCTAGGATATGTGTCAGATTAAGACATATGTGGAATGACCCAGAATTTGTTTGTAATTCATCAGTCGCGGGCATACTTCCTGATCGGGAAGCCTTGAAGAAAAATCCCCTTGTTTCCCGATCAGGAAGTATGTTTTCAAGTTTCATGTTGTTTATTTTTTTTTTTTCATTAACTTTATATCTGCGTATATAAAGGAAGCAATTACCAGAGAAACTTTCAGGAATAAAAAATTGCAACGTTGTTAACACTACTGATTTCTACTAAAAATGATTCGGGCTAAGTATGATGGTGTCTGTTCAAGTGATGTAGAGATAAACTTTATGCAAGCTTCCGTCCATGTCCCCCTGTCATCGGCTTAATCAAACCTCGTCATTTAAATATAATGATGGTGTTTGATTTAGAAACATCCGCAGAAGTTTAGAAATTATATTCTATGGGTGATTAATAGATAATGCAATACAATTATTATGAAATAGGAATATGTCTTGTAGGTAAAATTGACAATGCTGCACGCTAGATTTGATTGTGCATGTTCATGGACGACTGCATTATAAGTAGTATTCAATATTTAAACATCAACATGGTGTTTAACTGAAACTTTTGTGCCATTCCACGAAAAGAGACATATTTGACTATGTAAAAATATGTGTGCCCAAATGAAAACAATGGGCTAAAGAGAATAAATGTTTTAAATAGTTTTAAAGCCTGCGTTCCACAGATAGGATGGATGTCAAAAACATAAGTTTAAAATACAGGCAAAATATCCTAATGATTATTAAACAGTAGGCAGTATTTGGAACAACGTACCCAACAAGATTAAAACAAGATCTGATATAGAGCTTAAAATGCCATCGGATAAAACCTCAATTTAACCTCATGCTGAAGTTTACTAATTACATTGCACTTTAGCAGCTATATTTACTTATATATATTTTGACACTTAAAAATCGGGAATCTTTAATATTTTAAATTATATATTTTAATTATAAATATTTTAATTATAAATGCATCCCTGAATAAATTATTATTTTATGTCTCAACGTACGCCTAATATCCTTTCAGATGTAATTATTCCATGTTTGTAATTACATGTATTCCATGTTTGGATATAAAATGATGAAAAAGGATAAGACCCGCTGCATATGCCTATATAGATGCGTCAAAATTTAATATTTTAAGTAAATTAAACTACAGAAAAAAACTCGCTTTATAAAAAACGTAAATTTGAAAGAATTCGTGTTTCATGTAATAAGTAATTTACATGATAATAAATTAATAAATTTGTGCAACTATGATGAATGACTTTGCAGTATTTATCACCATAATTCTCAGTACTGCAGCAGTACCTAGGGGATATACTTTTATTACAGATAAATAAAGTTCCATGCTAGATGCTAGATCTATTTTTGCTATTTTTTTTTTTTTTTTAGAAATTTACTTCTCTGGTTCACTTCACTATATTTTACTTACATTTTCAAATATTTCACGAAAATTAGCATGAATTTCGGGGCAAAATCGCGCCAACACAGTATAAGTCATATGGCGATTTTCCAGCTTAGGTTCCCCCATTTCATGCATGAACGTGCACCTGAGTAGAACCATGGACATTAATTTACGTTATCTGGATAGCTTCCTCACATGGGCTTTTTTATCATTTTATTCATTTATTTCATTATTGTTTTACTGCTTATAAATGTTTTCCATATAAATTAATCTTGAATACGCATATTCATTGGCGGACATTCATTAACACGATAAAATAGGGCGAGTGGATTTAGGGACGAAATCTGATAATCTCGCGAGACTATCATTTTGTCCGCCATGTTTGGTTACAAAGGACGCCAAATTAATGTAAACATGTGATGATTTCTAATGAATAGGCCGTGTTGTGTGTGCTATGGTTAGATTTAAAAATCAAGTATATAATGCAACGTTAAAAATAACTTTTTTGCCCCGATAAAATATAAAAATGCCATGCTCATGGCAAAAAGAGGATTATTTCTCCACGTTGATGTGCAACGACAAACGGTCGTTCACAGCTCTGGAAATGTTAGTGGACGATCTTCATGCTGATAAAGAAAGAACTGTCAGTACGTTTCTGTGTCACTCAGGGTCAGAAGATTTTCTGTGGGGTCTTGTTCGCTTACTTGGAAATGACACACCAAGGTAGTTAAATTTTGATTCCCATATTTACTATTCTTTCTGAACAGGTGCTTCTTCAAGATCTTTAATTGGGTAAAGACTAAAGTGAATTTGTAAACAGAAAAGACTCAATCATTGTACAATTTAAAATTTGTGACACAAAATGACATTGAGCTACCCCTCAAATGTTATTGTCCTTCTGCTGGCAACTATTCTTGTTTTTGTTTTTCTTTTACACTCACTTCACCTTTACACTCACTTCACCTTTTGGCCTTTTAAGTCTGACCAGGTTCCAGGGTGTCTGTTTACTTTTTACTGTTTCTTGAAGCATGAATGTGTAGGTGGCACGATAGCTCAGTTGGTTAGACCACTGGCTGTCACTCCTGAGGTTCCGGGTTCGATCCTGGGTTACACCCTTTGGATTTTTCAGAGACACTTTCAGTGTTTCCCACCTAACTAGAGGTGTACTGGTAAGAAATCCAGGTAATCCTCGCATGTATCAGTGCTATACACTTGGCATGTAAAAGAACCAAGGGGTCTTTTCAATAAGAGCCAGGGACTGGTTCCCTGGATTCCCTTGTACATGTATCTCATAGCTTTCTCTGAAGTGACTTAGTCTAGAGTCATGTCTAAGCCCCCGTGATGGTTTGACATTAATGAAAGATAGATAGATTGTAGGATGTTATTTCAGTTTTTACAGATAGAAGAGCCCTTCTCTAAACAATGAAATTTGCGAAATACAACATGTACACAGGTTTAAAGCCCAATATTAAAGGGGGTTAAAAACTAATTGAATGAAATTCAGGGTAAATTTGCATCATGATTTCTAAAGAATTTTCCTGTAAATAATAAAAAACCGGCCTGTACTGTGATTGTGTTTTTGTTTCATCTTGAAGGCAGCTGCTGATTTTTTTTCCATTAGTAACTGACAGGTTAAAGAATATCAGCCTACATCTAAGATTGAACTGTCCCACTGCAAAATTTAAAGGAAGTGGCTAGCCGTACGCCTAGCTAAAAGTTCTAGCCGTACGTGAGTCACGTACGTAACAACTAGCAAGGACACATTGTATTGGCTAGCCGTACGGCATTTTCAAAATTATATGGAAGTCGATAATGCATATGTTATTTTCTGAATTTAAGTGAGGATTTTAACCGTCTTCATATTGTTTACTTTTTGGAGATTAATCGCCTTGTTCAGTGTTGGCTACAGTAAAAAAAGTATGAATATCGATCTTTGTCATCTCAAGATGTTGAGAAAAAATAGCGTTTGGTTGCAGAGAAATTACATCAATTGAAAAAGTTTACAAAATTTTTATGATAATCCTCGTTTTGTTTCATTAAGTTTAATTTTCAACACCTTTAAAATGAAACAAAAAAAAAGAAAATTATTTTTGTTGGGCTCTGATAATTGCGTCAATTAACGACAGTACTGTATAGAAGTTTGTTAATATAAGGGAAGTTTGCATGTTCCGTAAAAACGCACTTTAAAATTCTATTGTCAGTCCCTGGGTAGGCTTGGGTAGGCTTTAGTAATAGCTAATTAATTGATTGTGCTTTTATGTTCGATATTTATCTACTGTATTTGAAAATTATACAATTATTTTTTCTTTTCACCGTTTTTTTTTTTTTTTTTTTCAATGTTAATTCTTTTTATTTATGCCACTTCGATCATTATTTATTCGATCCATGTGCTTAATTAACAAAATTCATCTTTCATACAAATAAAACAACAAATCATGAGGCACAAAATAACATGCATGTTCGACTTCCATATAATTTTGAAAATTGCTGATGGCTAGACAATACAGTGAGTCCTGGCTAGACGTACGTGACTCACATACGGCTAGAACTTTTGGCTAGCCGTACGGGCCCGTACGGTTAGCCACTTCCAAATTTAAAACTGATAGTCTGATACAATGTTTGTAAAATAGCATTGAATCATACTTACAAAAGCTAAGGATGTAACTATTATACAATTTAAACCCCTGATATCACATGTACATGTACAATAATCATGACACTTTAGGCTCATGGTTCTACAATGCAAATATATGTAGCATGGTATACATTATTGTTACCCAGGTCTTAACCTGAAAAATCATCAACTCTTATAATTTGCCTTTCCCTTAGATGATTATGCTAGTCTGAGCACTAGCTCTCAGTCTGTAATTGATTGCTAGCCAGTTCTTGACTTTATACCCCCAAATGACATAATAGAAGCATTGTCATTATGTTTTAAATATGCCATCATTGTAAACCTGAAAAATTCTCATGCACTGACCGCAATTTGATCCGAGACCTCTCAGTTACAGTTGCTGTAAGGTGTACACTCAACCATGTCTCTAAACTTTATTAAACTCACTTGCACAGAATGGTTTACATGTTTAATAAAATTGACACCTTGCTGTGAATTGTTCCAATGATATACCCATAAAAATAACTCACATTCATGATACATATGATAAGAATCCAGGATTTATACATGCAGTCTTCCCTTAGAACACTTTGAGTTACATGAGCTTCAATCACAGGAAGTTTGAAAAGTCCTAGTAAAGCAGTGTATTGATAAGTCTGTTGAAATTCCCAAAATTTTATGCTAGCTTGATAATTCCCTAAAAATATTGTAAAAAAATTCAACCAGCCAGCCCATAGCCTTCAGGTATACTGGTATTTTATTATTTTATATAAAAAGCAACAATATTTGTATGCTTGTTTTATGCTATCACCTAAGAATTGAATGTTTTAATTTAAATTAAGGATCATGGATTCCGTAAAATTTCCCAATTTTACAATGGTTACTATGCTGAAATTTTCCAAATAAAAAAGTATTTTATATTATAAGGCAGCTTGGAAAAACTAAATGTTAAAAAGAGATCAGGATTTGCTTGTAAATGTTGAATTATATTTAATAGCATCTTTTAATACCCAATATTTAATGCTGAATTATCTCTATTGGAATAATATGAGTCACCATGAAGAATGCCCATTTACAAAATATTCTCAAAATAGTTTATAATACAAAAGAACTGTCCAGAATAAGATTAATGTAGATCAACCTACAAAAACCTCTATTTAACATTTAAGTACTATGTGTACATCATGTGACTTATTATACAAATTAAAATAGACAAAACGGTTCTTAAGTAAATGTTTATTGAAATTTCATTAACATAATGTAGTTAATTAAAATTCAAAACATGAAGAAGCCATACTTGAAATTGAATTAAACAAATCAAAGTACTATGTAAATGTTTATACATTAAAGAACTAAGATGTATTATTTCAAACACATTAAATATACATTTATAAATTGTTCCTTTTATTGAAACCAATGAAAATTAAAGATATTAACACTAATGTGTTTTGTAATGCATTATTTTCATACACTGTTATCTATTTATAATACAATGTAAGTTATAATTCAAAAGCAAAGCATTTTTTTCCTATGAATTAATGTTAAGAAAAAGTTTGATAAATAAAGCATGCTTAGATAATGCAGCTTTATTTACATGAAATGTTAAATTTGGTAATATATTTATAAAAAAAAAAAACGTCAATTTTTTCTGAAGAAGACTAAACGTCAAAAGCTTAAGAAAAGCGTTTGTTTTTATTGAACTGATTATGTAATATATTTATAACTTACAAAATTGATAAATCTTAATTTGAGCATCATATTTATGATATAAAACCATAAAAAAATTGTGTTACAGGTTCTTTAAACATTGTATATAATTGGTGAATTTCAGAAACTTTAGGTGATTTATTCGTTCAAATAACCCAGTTGCTAGAGCCAAGATTCGATATATTGCTTGCTGTAAGATTACTTTGCATTAGAGTATTTGTATTTTCTTTTCCGAGGATAATGTAAATCCACAACGTTATGAACCCAGGAAAATGATCATTTTGATAAAACCACGAAATTTTATGCCCACGAATATACATGTGAGTGACAATTGGCTATACATGTAAGCTATTTACTGACAAATAAAATCAGGTTATGAGATATATACAACATAACTAAAAGATTAGTAAAAGCAGCTGTTGAAAAAGTAAGTAAGTTTGACAAGTAGATGCATTTAATAAAAAAAAAAAATAGTTTAACAATATACAATTAATAATTTCCTTGTATACAGCTGTATAGAATTGGATTTTTTTTACCGCATTTAATGTCTCAACAAAGCAATTTATTTTACAGTAAAAGTTTTAAAAAAAAATTGATAATTTATATAATCAAGGCTTAGATGTTTTTCATATTAATAATTAAAATAGTACATGCATATGTAACCTAAAGTTAAAGAAGGCAAAGATTTAACTTGTTGCTGAGAGGAATTGCTGTAAAGAGGTTAGATTTATTAGGGGTATGAACTTGGGAAGAACTGGTTCTGTTGTTTTAAAAAGGTAATTGCTTTACAGAGAACCACACTGCAGAAGTTGCACTGTATTTATTTGAGATATGATGGCCAGTTTTGCTAATATTGGTCTTTTAGATTGTTAACAATGGTTTTAAACAGATGATTTTGATTGGTAACTTGCCATTGGTTCCTTGACAGTAAGCATTTGATTTCAGTATGCTTAGTTGTAAGGGTCCGTGACATCGTAAGCATTCTGTTATCAGTCATCAGTAATATATTTGTTAATCCAGAAATTTATATCATTTTAATTGTTTATTTAGTAATTAGAAATTTAAACTTAAGAAGGGATAGCTCCTTCGATAAGAAAAAAATATCAAAACAGTTTAAGTTAAAGCATTGTTTAATTAAGGTGGATTGTGAAGAAATCTTAATTGAACAAGTCTTGAGTCGGTTTCTTGAAACTGATAGCTACTGGTGTCATAATTATGAAGAAACAGGATAGTGACCTGGTAGTGCTCGAACCCTTGATCCCTGGGTTGAGAGGCAAACATCTGAAGTCTGTTTTAGAAATTATCGTTCAGTAGATTGTGCAATGTTCAATCAAGAGTGTGCCATTGACCTCCTAAAATGACTGCTGGCGCAAAAACCAATTTAACCGTGAGCCTGACGGGTGCAGTCGCTTAGAAAATAGCCTTATAGTATTTAAGATACTTGACGTTTATCTTTATGCTGTATGCTCATTACTACTGTGGTAGTATTGATTTTTCAAGAGCAGTTATGATGATTCACCCCTGTATCATAAACCAGCTTTATATCATCAACAGCCTGATTTTGTTTCAAATTCTTCATTGAAGTGAAGTCTAACTGTCAATCTCAATAAATGTTATCTAATTTGAACAGAGTGGCTGGCAATGCAGCATATATTCTGGGGACCCTGGCAGAATCAGAGTTTGGCTGTACCAGAGTTCTGTCATTGGTACAGCATGGGTCAAGTGAGAAGATTCTACAAGATCTAACCCGTATGTTAACATTTGATGATTCAGAAAGTGTGATGAATGCCGCAGGTACAATGGGAACATTGGTAGGATTTGATTTTATATTGTGTTTTATAAATCTAGCCAATATTCTAAACGATAAACTCACTGTTATTCTAAAGGCACTTCAATATGGGCAGGGTGGGGGAGGGAGTTGGGTGTAACTTCACCTTTACTTTGTTCAATGGTAACTTATAGTTTTAGGACTTTCGACATTCACACAGGTCAGTGGGTTTTTTTTATTTATGGGGGCCGAAATAGGGCTCCTGATTCACAATAGCCAAAAAGGTTGGGTTTCTTTCACAATTAATTATTAGATAGCAGTCATTGACAACAGTGTCTTGATTTTAGACAGTTAAATAGCTAAATTTTATCAGTATAAAACAGGGATATATTCACAAATAAAGGCAAAAGAACACTAATTTTCACAATTCAAAGGGCCCTAGTTCTATTCACAAAAGACTGAGAAAAAAGAACATTGCGGTATTTCTTATAAAATTATCTAAATTTACACAAATCAGAAAATTAATCAAAATCATTATAAAGATATGGATTTCATGGTCTTATAGATTTCCCTGTAAATGGACTCAAGATTTATATTGTGAACTTGTCCAGGTAGAAATGTTCATTTGCTATGTAGATATAGGCTAGTCAGTCAAATATTTAATTAACTGAATAAAATGCAAATGTTTATAAGATATCATAAATGAGCCGCGTCATGACAAAACCAACATAATGGGTTTGCGACCAGCATGGATCCAAACCAGCCTGAGCATCCGCGCAGTCTGATCAGGATCCATGCTGTTCACTTACAGACCCTATAACAAGTAAAGAAACTGATAGAGAACAGCACGGATCCTGATCAGACTGCGTGGATGTGTATGCTGGTCTGGATCCATGCTGGTCGCAAACCCATTATGTTGGTTTTGTCGTAATCGGCTCATATGAATATTGTAGGCTGAAAGTCACGAGGGGCGAGAATGGATTCTGAACGAGAAATGTCTACCACAAACATTAGACCATGTAACAGCACTGCTACATTCAGAAAATCTCTGGACTGCAAGCAATGCTGCATTGGTTTTAGCAAGGTAATCTAATCTATATATCATACTCCAATGCAAACAGGTAGCTTTTACAAAAAAACATCACTTTCAATTTTGCCATGTTGGGCAATCTTTGTGTTTCCATTTTGATCTATTTTCATGACAGTATTTCATAAGAGATTTTAAATTTTAGGTCTTAAATTCATTAAGAAACAACATTAAATTTTTTGATTAATAATAAATGAGGAAGTAGGTCAAATATTTGTGATTAACACTTAGAGTGCCATCTGCGATGAAAATTGTTTCTGCTTAGATATTTATTAGAGCTCGACTGGCATACAGGTTGCGGTTTCAGGGGTGCATTGGCAGTCTTCATTTTGTTTTTAGCTGTTTTTCAGTGTTAAATGGTTAATATTACTTTCATTTTGGATAATTTTGATGCAATTGGAGTAAAAACCAGAAAAACAAAGAAACAAATTGAAAATTTATTCGGAATGAATAATTTAAAAAATGTCTTGCTAAAAAAACAACACATGAACTTCATCTGAATATTGTAATTTTGCACCATTACATACATTTTGACTGACTAATAGCAATTCACATTATAATAATCTGATTATTTGTAGATTGCTGCATTAATTTGATTAGCTATGCAAGACTGCAAAATCAATTAAAGTACACTTATTGATGGAAATTGACCTAAATGAAGGTCAGATAATTTGATTTGACACACAAATTTACAACCTTGATTGAAGCTGTTCAGCATACATGGAAGTAATCGTTTCACTCTTTGTGTGATTATGCAACAAATACAGTTGTATGATATTTGTAAAGGATATTCAAACCTATAATCTTCTACGTGTGGCAGAGAGGTCAACTCATCAGACTAATAAATCTACTGGTCACACGGGTTCAGATCTTGTCAGGAGCAAGCCCTTTGTTTCTCCTAGCAAGAAACTTTACATTTATTGCATAGTACTGGTTGGTTCCAGAAACAGATTCAAATGTGTTTAAATAAGCTAATAGAATGCAACACAATCAAATTGAAATAAATGTATATAAATGTTTAAAAAAAAACTGTAATCTTTTTCATTACAGGTTGAGTATATCTGAATTTGGCTGCTTAAAAATGCTGGAACATGAACATTCACAACATATCCTGTCAAAACTTATCCTTTCTCTGGGAATAGATGAAGCAGGTCTGTGTATTTTATTTTGGTTTTCATCTTTCTTCTCCACTTTATTAGACTCAGAGCTTTGAAGTACGGGGCGTCCATGGCCAAGTGGTAAAGGTTGTTGACTTTACTGCTGTGGGTTCATATTCTGTAAGGAATTTTAGATTCTGTTATCTGTGGAAGCTATTCAGCTAACTTATCAAACGTCGATGGTTCTACTCAAGTGCTCACTTGTGCCTGAAATAATGCACCTCAGTGGGCACCTGAGGTCTTCCTCCACTTGTAAAACTTGAATGTGGCCATAAGACCTTCACTGTGTTGGTGCGACATAAAACCCAACCAAAAAAAAAAAAAAATAAGTACATTTAACAACAGAGAGTTCTTGGTTTGTTTGGTTTCTATCATATAATGTTTATCTAAAGGTTTTTGTAAAGTATGAGTAACTTTATTAAAAAATGATGTTATATATAAAGGTCGCGGCATGAATGCAGCATTTGCTATTGGTCGCCTATGTGACATGGATCAGGGTAGAAAACGTCTCCTTCAACTTAACGACAGTGAACGTATGGTATGTCCAACTAAATAAGTACATTTGTATTATAGTATACAATAATAATTGTTTATTATCATATTGTGATATTAAATTAAGATCATTTTTAGCTCAACTTTTCAAAGAATAGGAAGAGCTTATATCACACACTCGTTCTGTATGATTATCACAGTAACCTTTTTACAGAGTTATGTCCCTTTTCTTACTGTCATGTAGTGAAAATAGTTGAGCTTGCTGTCTTATGGACAGCTCTTGTCACTTTTTCTGTCACAAAACAATGACTGGAACAGCTATTCAGTTGGTAGAATGTAGTCAATCTGTTTCTGGGTGCTATTAATAATTTGATTTAGGAATAACAGTTCTCTTGTAACGTGCCTGCTAGTCATAATCGAATTGATTGCTAAGCAGCATCATGTATAGATGTTATTATGTAATAACTGTTGCTATAGTAATTTGTATGGAATGTGGCTCTACCGCTTTGTAAAATGAAAAAATTCCAGACTAACATTGCATGTTCAAGTCCAGGATCTGGACTGCCCTTGAAATTTTACACATATATGAGGATTCATTGTTGTTGGTCACTGATCAAGAGCCATAACTTTGTTTTTTACAAAAGTATGCCCCTTGGTAAATTTAATGGCCCTTGTTTAACTGTCACATAGGCTGTTTGTGACTGACAGCTTTTTAATTTGTATTATCTATTAGTTACTATTTATACCTTAATAATCATCAAGGTATCATGTTATAAATATTTTCTCCAGATATCGTGCCTAGCGAAGATGTTGAGCTGCAGTGACACAGGTGCTAGCAAAAATGCTTGCTTTGCACTTAGTTGCCTAGCAACAAATTCTGAAGGTCACTCGCGTCTGCTCGGCAATATTCATTCGGAAGATATTTTACGGACATTGTCCACACTCCTAAATGCAGAGGATGCTGAAACAGGCTGGTTTGCTGCAATGTACGTTCACATTCTTTTTAGATATGAAAAATAAAAATTTTATTAAAATTTGATCAGGGGTAATACATTTATTAAAGGCAAATTTTGACTTATAAACAAAAAATAATTTTTGTCTTAAAAAAGGCTAAACTTGAGTTTTATAATGTTTAAATTAGATGCTTATCACCTGAAAAAAGGATTACTGAATGTAAAATTATTTATGATTAAAAGTAGCAAAATGTATACAAAGTAGTATTTTGACTTACATACAAAATATATTGATAAATGCCAAAAAGCAACTGAACCAAAAGGAGTGTTCAGTTAATTGGGCAATTAAATCACTGCTACCATGTAAAATTTTATTTTATATTTAGGTCAATAAATAGGCATGAAAAAAACAGATAATTGCTTTGCTCTTTAATAAACTTAATAACTTTTTTTGTGATAACAGTTTATGATATGTATAAATCATTTTTAGGAAGTCTGAGGTTTTGTTAGTGATTTTACTACCTTTTGATATTATTGAGAATATTAACTATTATTTCAGGACATTACGTACACTTGCCAGTCAACCTAAAGGTTGTCTACGCTTGCGAGAACACCCTCATGTGATTCCTAGTCTAAAAGTAAGTATACACATTTCTCTCATTGATTTGTAAAGTTCTCTTATTTTAAAATACATGTATTTGACAAGCACAACAATTATCGATCATACATGGAATAAATTCATTTCTTTGTATGATGTGCTTGTGCAATACTTCTTTGTTAAATAAATTCAATATATAAAAGTTCAAAAACTGTAAATTACTTCTTAAAGCAACTGTTCAAAGAATAGAGCATCTGAACATCGTCATGTCAACCATGACTGTCTTGTTCACCTTGATGTTTATAGGCATAGCCTCCCTAGGGATTGAATTTCAGGGGATATTGCTTCACTGTTTGTAAGATTCCCACTGTCCCGCCCTCTTCACATGCATACATGTATATTGTAATTATTTCATAATGATTGAGATAAAATTTGACAATGTTTTGTTTCAGAGTGTTGAAGTGAAAGATGATGTGAATGCAGATTTAAAGGAAGAAGCAATAATTACCCTAGAAATACTCAAACGCCTCCCTAAACCTAGTCCTCCAATTATTAATGGTGAGTCTCTTACCTGTTAACAATCGCAACTTTTCGGCCCTATCCATCAGTCTTCGAATAAGGACCTCAAACACAATAGTAAGAATACACAGAACACTGGTACGGTATTTCAGTCAAATCTATGCTAAGAACTAAACATGGGAACAAAAAGTAATTTAAAGCTAGGATTAGAAGACTTTGATTATAATATATCCAGTAAAAGTCACTTACCTGTTATCAATCGCAACTTTGCGGCCCTTTCTGTCAGTCTCCGGATAAGGACCTCGAACACAATTGCGTGAATACACAGAACAGATACGTTATTTCAGTCAAACCTACCCTAAGAAACTAAACATGTAAACAAATAGTAATTTAATGCTATGAGTTGAAGACTTTGTTCAGGGATCAAAATTCTTTATAAAGTGCGCAAATTATACATAACCTATAACACAAGCTTTGTTTTCTCATCTTGAAATGTAAACATAATGATTTTGTAGAATTCTAGCTTTATATTACGGAGGAGCATACAACGATTTTTTTTTTAGGGGCATTCGTGGCCGGGTGGTTAAGGTCGTTGACCTCAAACCACTTGCCCCTCACTGTTGTGGGTTCGAATCCCGACAGGGACTTTGGATTCTTTCATGTGAGGAAGCTATCCAGCTAGCTAACGGAACGTCGGTGGTTCTACTCGGGTGCCCGTTCATGCCTGAAATAATGCAAGGAAGGGCACCTGAGGTCTTCCTCCACCAGTAAAGCTGGAACGTCGCCAAATGACCTATACTGTGTCTGTGCGACGTAAAACCCAAAAAACAAAACAGTGATTTTTTACTCTTCCTGCAAGATGTCTACTGGTTAATACAAGCAGACCAGTGGAATTTTCAATCCCTGATGTTTATACAAATATATTGATTAAAAGATCACCTGAATAAAGTAAATTTAAAGATATAACAGTAAACACTGTACATTATTTATATACTTTTATGATGGTTCTGGAAATCAAAAGTACAAATTGTCTACCTGTTGACATTTGTTTTTCAGATTTGGTTATAATTGTACATCAGTGAGCATTTTTAAATGGATTATGATTGTCAGACATATGTTCAATCATAATTTTACTGAAATAGACTTTTATTTTCCTTTGAATGTCAAATAAGATGAAAGAATCTAAGAAAAGTAATAGTATAGAGTCTGGTGACGTCTCATGGACATGCAGGCTGCAATGGCCTGTTTTTTTAGGGGTGTCATATTTATCTGTTTAAATGGGTACGGTAGGTTTTTAGCTGAAACCGGTTAGCTAACAACCGGTTAGAAATTTCAATAACTGGTAACCGAGTTAGTATTTGACTAAGGCCTAGAAAAGTTTGAAATTTATCTAAATATTACCTTAGTTTTTTTATTACAAGATATGACCATTGTTTGTATTTTAAGTACTTAACGATGTGTTTTTCCGATCTGATCGAAATATGGTACGACCCTAGTGGTAAATAAAGTTACTCCATATTCATATATGTGTTGTAATCATTTTGAGTACAACAAAATATAAACAAAATGGCATATCTTGTCATAAAGAAACAAAGTTTATGTTAAAATTCTAAGGAATTTTTAAAATTCTAAGGAATTTTTAAAATTCTAAGGAATTAAGTAGTCTGGTTGGTTAAATGTTTAAAACGGTTATTATGTCGCCCTTTAAACGGTTAGCATTTTTTCTAAACTTGACACACCTAATTTTTTATTGACAGCAAGGGGTGTGTAATCACATATTGCAGTCACTAATTTTATGTTTTATTTGTTTCAGCAATATCATTTAACATGGTGAAGGCCACATGGGATCCTATTGTTACCAAAAGTGGCTTTCAAGTGCGATATCAGCTTTTTGATGGTAAGTTTGTTTTATATTTAAAATATTTTAAAAGAAATAATATTCCATTGAAAATAAAAGATTTGTTTTTCTTATTTAGTTTGCATACTTCTTTACCAATGAATCATGACTGTAACAAGTTGTGGTAAAATTCTAATTTGTATATTAAAAATCAAAAACATTTGTTTCTTGTACATATAACATTTTCATTATGAACTCAGATGCGGCTAAATTCCTTAGCAACATGTGCATACATGTGAGCTTTTTTCGATGATCAAGTGGGAGATTTTTCTTCAAAAAGAGGGAGATTTTAGAATTTGCAATAAACAAAGAAGGAAGTTCTGACATCAAAAATGGGGAGATTTCTTTAAATTATGAAAATACTCCTTATTTTAAGAAAAATCGTTGAAAATATGGCTGCAGAAAGTGGGAGTCTCTCACTAAAAGTGGGAGTGTTCACAAGTATGCATGTGGCCAACATGTGCCAAGTGGCTGCAATATTATTTGGTAATTAACCTTTGGAAGAAGGGTTAAGTTATTTTGACCCATCAGACTTTGACATAGACATTCTATTAGTTTCATGAATAGTCTGTGGCCGAGTGGTTAAGGCTATTGACTTCAAACCACTTGCCCTTTACCACTGTGGGTTTGAATCCTGACAGGGACTTTGGATTCTTTCATATGAGAAAGTGAGAAAAATCACTAGTGTAACACGTATTACATAATTTTTTCAGCCACAAAATGTGTGTATACTGGTAAGCAATGCGAGTGTGAGGTGTTGGGTCTACAGCCGAATACACCATATATCTATAAACTTCGTGCATATACTGAAGGGGATGAGAGCCCGTTTAGTGATGTTGTTTCAATAATTACTGATGAATCCGGTAAGTTTGTTTCTTATAAGAATTTTGACCCCAGTGCTTTTATTTAAACAAACTTGGAAGACACTCATAAGAAGATGTTTCATGCTTAATATCTAAGCTCTAGCTCTTTGGGTTTTTTAAAAGAAGATTTTTGGTTTTTTTTTACTATATCCATATAAGGGAAATCAATGAACCCCTGGGGCCGGGCCAATTTTGACCCCAGGGCTTATCTGGACTTATATGGTCAGACACATGTGGAGAAATAGTTAATTGCTTTTCTGATATCCTGGTACTGCAGGACTCTACTAGGAACTACAATCGTTTCTAACAAAAAGTGATTAAGTAAACTGATAGAACGTTAAAGGGAGACACAGGCAAAATTTTCATTTCTTAGTTTTGAATTTTTTCATTCCTAATTCTGTAAATGCCCTCAAAATGAATATATTAGACAATCAAAGGAACAAAACTTTTCACCATAATTTATAAAGAATAAAATGGTGGTTTCCTAACCTGACCCGCATGGGTCAGGTTAGAGTGCTAGGATTTCACAATAGTTGTCACAGTGAACTCTGGAAACGTTAAAGTACATGTCAAATGAATAATTTTTACTTGTTTCAATCATACAATATCCACAGTATCTGTTATTGTAACTTCAAGGAGTTGTTCAAGTCACCTGACTTGTTTTAAAGCTACTTGGTGATTCTATTGGCGTCTAAATTTTTTATAACATATACATGTATAGATATATTTATGTTTCAAATCCAAAATATATAGAATTCAAAGAGAAATTCATGCTGAAACTTTTAGAAATGTCATTTTAGCGCGAGTTGAGTACAAAAGATCATTTTAATATTTTTGTCATTATTTTGCCTGAATATCCTTTTAATGGTTTAACTATAACCGTTACTTATTTTTGACTTCAGAGCATAAAAATCATTCAACTGATTTAGATTTATGGATTTTAAAAAAACTGTGCTCAGAAATTTTTCCTACGTGTTTGTTATATATCAGTGTGACATCTGCTATATTTGCATAAACATTTTCTGCTTGCATTATACTTTGATTTTGAGAAATTTACAAAAATGTTATAGCTATATCAAATGAAAATTTTTTTTATAAAATTAATTTTTTTTTACAGTTCCAGGGCCACCTCAGAGTGTTCGTGTTTTAGGAGCTACAATAACTCAACTAAAGATAGGCTGGGATCCTCCGTCGGACATTAATGGCACGCTCAAAGGATATTATATATTTATTGGTAAGTGCTCTTCTTCATCAGTAACATCATGTCCTTAAGAATTTCATCTTAAAGTTTACTCAAGAGTATCTTATTATGTTTAGATTTCAATGAAAACTGGCTGAAGTACATAATGTCTCTTTGGATAAAATTCTTTTATTATAAAGGTAGCCATAATTGTTGCATTCTTAGAATTGGAATGTTGCATTGGCATCTCTTGATTTAAGTGTGAGTCTGATATAGATCATTTTGTTTCCAATTCTTTAAGTTTTAAGGATGGAATTTCACAAAAGCCCCAGTGCTGGGGTGTTGGGAAGGGGGGAACGAAGCATCAGAGATATTACATTTTCTATAAAATGACAGGTCTTTGTATTTCAATGATTTTCATTATCATTGCTCAAGAGGAAATCTAAATTTTACCAGAATTCATACCTACACTTTCCTTGCATTTAATTATTTATAGATATAAATTTGATATGAAAGTCTTCCGTGTTCAAGAAGGTCTTCTGAGGTCCAAAATCTAATAACTTTAAATTTAAAATTGTTACATTTATTAACTGGGCTTCAAAGACAAATATGCAAAAGATAAGTAAGAAATATATGATAAAACAATTTTAATGCTAGTTTTAGTCTGATTTAAACTAAAAGCTTTCATTTTTGGGCCATTTTGCACAATTAATTATTATTTTGAAAAAAACAACAAAGTGAGTAATTGACCTGAAATTTTGCTCACAGATAATGGTAAATTAGACCTAAAATTTCATTTTTGGGCCATTTTGCACAATAAATTATTATTTTGAAAAGAAAAAAATAAGTGAGTAATTGACCTGAAATTTTGCACACAGATTTTTTTTTAGACTTTTATCAAATTGTACACAAATCTTATAAAACAAAAAAAAAATCCAGTCCCATCATATCAAAAATTTCTCAATGGAGTCCCTTTAACAAACATATAAAGATATATAGTGATAGATATGATTGTTATATTACTAGATGACAAAGAGGTACAGCATTCTATGGACAACAGCATTATACTGACCGGACTCAGTGCAAACACATCTTATTACATTGAGGTAAGTTATGTGATTACTCACAATCTTTATAGGGGCCTCGTTGACAAGTGAATAAGGTAGTTCACTTAAAACCACTTGCCCATCAATGCTGAGGGTTCAAATCCCAACAGGGACTTCAGATTCTTTCATGTGAGGAAGCTATCTAGTTACATGTAGCTTATGAAACATCAATGGTTCTACTCAGATGCCCGTTCATGCCTGAAATTATGCATGGAAGGGCACCTGAGATCTTCCTCCACCAGTTAAGCTGGGATGTCACCATATAACCTATACTGTATTGGTGTGACGTAAAAACCAATTAAAGAAACAATTTTTATATCTGATGTTTAAGAGATAATCTGCTGTCATATTTATATTCCCTAAAAATACAGATTATTTACTGCAAGCTACATTCACCAAACTAGGATGAATAAGAAATGTTTTGTTATCACTCTAGAGTGCTTTCCTACTATTTTAAAATTCAGATTTAATTTTTGGTTTGTGTAGGGAACAATAAACTTGTAGACACACTCTCGATTCTGTTCCTGGATCTAGTCAGTACTGAGCAATGAGTGCAAAGTTTCTGGCTCATGGAAACAACGGTTTGCCCCTGACGGGGTTTAAACCTGCTGACTAGAGGTCTTTAAATTACATGTACTAGTCTGTTGCATTAACCACTCGACCATACTGCCACATATTAACATATTCACATATTTTAAAATTTATGAAAAGCATGCTCATGTGTATTCACAGTTCATAAATTTTGCATTCAAAATGTTCACCATAATAGTCATAATTACAAGTGAGATTTTATCATAATTTCTATCTTACATTATAAAGGTATGTGCTGCCACAGCAAAAGGTCGTGGGGAGAGGTCAGGTACACCAGGGACAACTTCAGAAATAGGTATACTCATTTTCTGATATTTCTATGTCAATCTTGTTTTATACATATTCATAACCTGTGACAATAGCATTTATAATATATTTTACAACATTGCCGAAAAATGCCTGAATGGACTATTCAGCCGGCTTATGAAAGATTAATGGTTTTACTCTGGTGCCTGATATGTGCCTTAGGAAATGCACTGAAGCACACCTGAGGTACTCATTTAGCAGTAAAAAGGGAAAGTCCCCATATGACCTCTACAGTGTGGGGTTTGACCTTAAAAGCCAACAAAACAATAAAAAAAACATTCATGATACATGTAGTAGCTTAAACATGTAACTTATAAAAGAAATAACAGCAAAATAAATCTCATGACTATTTCCATGCTTTTCTTTTTTATCATTTTGTAAAAGAGTATGTGCTTGTATATTTTTACATCAAGGCCAAGTACAAAATAAAGCATGTCTAAATTTAGCCACATGTAAATGTACCAGTTGCAAGGCTCTTAAAAAAAGAAAGAAAAATAAGAATTAATTTGACCATATACATGTACATACTTTGTCTACTGTTGAATGTGTCCGACCTTACAGTGTGATATAAATAGAAATTATATAGACAGCTTGCATAGACCAGGCTTTGGGGCATGGTCAAGGTTACTGGTGCTAAAAATAGATTTTTTCCTCTTTTTACAATACCATTCGATTATTTATATATTTATGCAGGGTTTATGCCATTTGATTATTTAAATATTTATGCAGGGTTTATGCCATTTGATTATTTAAATATTTATGCAGGGTTTATGCCATTTGATTATTTAAATATTTATGCTGGGTTTATGCCATTTGATTATTTAAATATTTATGCAGGGTTTTTGCTATTTGATTATTTATATATGCATGTTTTTTGCCATTTGATTATTTATATATCTAGCAGGGTTTATGCCATTTAATTATTTATATTTATATAGGTGCACATGCCCCGTCCAAGCCTCATGTTAATGTAATAGGACGTAACGAGTTGTACGTATCATGGGGACCACCGGAGGTACCACTTGGTAGACTTAATAGATATGATGTCATTATGAACGACAAGATTATCTACTCGGGAAACGATCTGAATCTCCCTGTACGGAGACTTGTACCAGATACAGAATATGCCTTTGTTGTAAGTTACAATTCTTTCGGTTCTATTGGTAAAAATTGGTGTACCTATTTGAGTAGTTGCCAGACCAGTCTGCCATTTCTGCTTGGGCGTATTAACATTTCTTATAACCTCCTAAATTTTTGTAATGGATTTGCCTTGCTTTGAATTTGGAACAGTCCATTCTAATTTTAAAGCGATTTTAATTTTAAAATGCAAAAATTGAGCTACCATCGTTATAGAGCCTAGTCAATCTGTACAGATGTGTATTTAGTTTTTCTTTTAGATAAACAATATACAGTAACACCTAAACCTTACAAAAATATTAGTAACCTAGATTTTAAATCTTAAAATTAATCTCCTTCAAACTCAATTGCAAATATTTTTTCCTTTTGAGAAGTTTTTTTATTTTATTTTTTTTATGATAATTATGAAATATATGAACTTTGAAAAAAGATCAAAAATATGAACATAGTAATTTGTCTTTAGTAAAGCAACAGTAGGATCAATATACTAGATAACATGTACTAATTAATGAGTTAAGCAGGTGAAAACTTTGACATATAATTTTAGGTTGTTGCTTTAACAAGCGAGGGGAAATTCGAAAGTAAAGTAACAAAGAAAAGAACGTCAAAAGATGAATGTAAGTAATTTGATATTGTTTAAAGAGCATAAACATCTGATTATTTTTTACTGTATATCATGTTTGTATAAAAACAGGATGCTTCCAGCTGAGTTGAATAAATCTTGAAAAAAAAAAAAATCAGAAAAAAAAATTAGGAAAAAAAAAAGAAATCAGAAACTACAGTGGAACATCTTTTGGGGAGGACCAACCCTCTGTAGAGAAATAACCTCTTTATAACAACAATATCATTTCTTCCCAAAAGATGACTTCACAATATATTTCTCCTTTCTAGAGCAGCACCTCTCAACAACAACCAAAATATCTTCTATCAAAGAGGGTTGCTGTGCAAAGGTTGTATTCTTGCAAAGCAGACTGGCGTTTCCTTTAATTTTACCCATGCCGGAAATATTATCTTACATGGGGGTGCCAGATGAGTCGCATATTATACAACAACGTCATTTTAGAGTATTTTATGAATGAACCACCTCAAATTAATGTCATTTTAGAAGGGAACTATGTGCTAAGGATGATGTCATATTGTCATTGTTATTAAAGTTGTAAATTCATACATTATTGTAAGAAAATAGTTATGGATGAATTGTTATAATCTTCCATGAACAAATATCTTACTGAGGTTAACCATTTTAAATATGAAAGAATATGGCAGAGTATGCAGGAAAAAATATCTGACATACATTTGTGGTTCAGATCGAAATATCCGTCCCTCGGGTAACAACCTGGGGTACCTTCGGGACCGATATTCTGATTCGAACCACAACATATGACATATATTATTACTGTATATCTTAAGTTTAAGAAATATATAATAATTCACAATATATTTCATAGTACATGATATGATTTAATTAATAATTTGATCACAAAAATATAGTTACTGGTGATCATTTTTTAAATCTTAAGGGATTTTCTGCATAATTTGTCAAATCATATTTTGAGTCCCAGAGGCTGAATGAAATGGCTTAAATTGTATACGTAACAACACTTTTATTCATTTGAACATTTTTTAAGTTTTCATTATAAAAAAATTAACACAAATTTTCAGGCATGCCGCTTTAATGAATCATATTTGATTTATCTATCTTTCGAGTACTCCAACGATTTTAGACGTCAAATGTCAAATATTGAGCACTCAGTAAAACTTCAATTTAACTTACTTGAAGTAATGGAGTTGCAGTTGAATGTTGCATGTAGTTTAAGAAATATCTACACATTACAGAATTCAATATTTTGAGCAGGTTTTGAACCCACAGATTTCTTCCTTAGGTCTTCACTTAGCATGAAACTGTAAAAGTGATAAAGGTTCCGTCCAGCTGGGATTGTTGAGGATACCTGAGGTGCCCCTCCGTGCATAACTTCAGGCACCTGAATAGATCTGTCAACCCTCTGCGAGCTAGCTGGATAGCTTTGTCACATAAATGAATACAAAGTCCCCAACAGAACTTGAACCTGCCTCAGTAAGGGGCAAATGATTTGAAGTCCTTATCCACTCAGCCACGTTGTTGGAGCCTTTGAACTCACCGAATGATACACATACATGTATAATTATGATAATTAAGATGTGTTCTCCCATTATATGTTACATCATCTTACTGCAATAACTGGTTAACTCCTATTAAATTTAGAAGCACTTAAACCATTACTGCACTAAGGTGACAATATGATAAATGCAGAATGAAAGTTAAAATTGTTATATCACCGATAGTTAAACTGTTCACTTACAGATGACCAAGCCAGGCCACCTCTATATCAGCCTCCAAAAAAGGAGAGTCCTGAAGAGGTTACGAAAGAAGGCGTTAAAACTCCGACTGGTCAGCCAAGTCAGAAACGGAGAAAATCAAGTGGAAGGGTATCAAGTGCTAAGCAAACAGTGAAGGTATTTTATGTTTTATTCCATCTTTTATTGTATCTGTTTGAAATGACAACTATAAAGATGGCAGTTTGATAAATTATTATTTTTAGTTTGTCTGTTTCGACGAAGCTTTAATGAGCTGCGTCCTTGTCATTGTAGTTGTTGTTGTTGTTGTCATGCAAAAAGTTTAATATAGTTCATTATTCAAACATTTTAAAAGGTATCAACATGAAAATTGGAATTCTTGCTTATCATGACAAGGTGAAGTTGTTAGACAAGGGGCATTTTTCTGAAAGCTATACATATTTTTTGTAGGTATGCCCCCCTCTTTTTCTTAGAATTTTTATCAGAAGTGGTTTTTCAAAGGGTACCATGATAATGCAAGTTATCCCAAGTTGTTCTTCTCTAAAATTCTATCTCCAGTTTTTAAAAAGTTACTGATGCCCATAAACCTTCCTTGTGGGATCCATGTACAAGAAGAAAAAAAAAACACTCACTTTTCTGTCGGGGGATGGGGAGTGGCCTTTAATTCTGGCAATATAGAAGAAAGTTTATATTGGTAACTATAATGAGAATAAATTCTTGGATATGATATCATAATTCTTGAAACAATCACTTAAATGTATTTTACAGAGGGTAGGGACAGCTAAAGAGAGAGTGAAAAGCAGTTCAAGTATAAATCAAGATTCAAGGCCACAGTCAGGTACTAAGTTGTTTTTTTTATATTTCACCTTGCACAATGTAAAATATATATTGATATCTTTATCACTTAACCTGCTGGAACCAAAAGTGATAAGCCTTTGTCAACAGTATAGAGCCTGACCAGATTGCATGTCCATGCTGTGTGACAAGGCTGAGACTATACTGTTGGGTGGTAAACTTTTACTTTCCATCTTGATATTCCTAAATTTTTTATTAATGGTTTCCAAAAATTGGAGGTGGATAAGTCCATTTGAGAAATTCTGCAAAAGTTCAGGACTACTATAGACAATGACATATATGCTTGAAATGTGGAATATGTGAAATATTATTGAAATGTGAAATATGATAGAAACTGAAATGTGACTGAAATATGATGGAAACATGAAACATGACTGAAATGTGAAATCTGTAATATATGATTGAAATGTGAAATACGATTGAAATGTGAAATACGATTGAAATGTGAAATACGATTGCAAAGTGAAATATAATTGAAATGTGAAATAAGATTGAAAAGTGAAATATGATTGAAAAGTGAAATATGATTGAAACGTGAAATATGATTGAAATATGAAATATGATTGAAAAGTGAAATATGATTGAAATGTTAAATATGATTTGATATGTGAAATATGAGTGAAAAGAGAAATATGAGTGAAATGTGAAATCTGTGAAATATGATTGAAATGTGAAATATGATTGAAATGTGGGGGGGGGGGGGGGGGGGGAATTACACTGTGATTTTTGTGGCCTCCTATTACATTATGCAGCCCCTATGTCTTGTGAACTTTGTAACTTCAGTTTCTTATGATCTTTTAAGTCCTAAATCAAAATGGAGATAATTTTCTATTTACAGGAGCAAGCAGTGTGGTGACCACTGTACTGGAACCTCGGCAAGTACAAGAAAAGCCTATTGAGAAGCCTGCAGACCCCACACCACCCCAACAATCTGAACCAGTGAGTCTTTACCTAATCTAGCATATTATTTTGTATGTATTTTATAATGTTATATTAACTGCCACTATGAGTAGTAGTATTTGAGTTTATTTAACTTGCTTCCGGTTGCCCACATGGGCGAGTCCTCCAGAAGAGTATTTAGTCATTTTATATTTTTGGAGGATAGTGCAAGATACAGAAAGATGCTCTTATTCCAGACGCTTCTCTTGGTTCTTTAACATTCCAAGTGTTTAAGCACTTGTACACGGGACCTAGATTTTAAGTCTCATCCGAAAGACTGATTGGTGATTTATGTTGGCCATCTCCGGAATCGAACCCATTATGTCAAGATTACAAGTCTAGGGTTCTAACCGGTTAAGCTATATGGGTTGGCTGCCACTATGTTATAATTCTTAAAGTATTATAATGCCAAAGGATCTTGGCAACACCAATGGAAACCTTGGTCTTGAACTAAAAACCTAAACACTTATTGTGCTAAGTACTGGTTGGTCGAGGGGAGAGTTGGGGAGTGTGCTTTTATTCTTATAGATTCCTACACAATGAAACTAAGATCAATTTTGTATAAATTAAGTGCTGGGAGGTTGTTCCAAAACTTTTTTTTTTTCCAGAGCCCAGTAAGCAGGTCTACGCCAAGTCCTTCAATAGGGAAACCTGTTGCTGAAGTAAAATTTGAAGTCAATAAGCCAATGCCTGTCCCTAAACCAAAAACACCAAGGACTGTGGTTCGCCCAGAACGTTCTATACCTTCATCTAAACCTAAACCAGTTGCCTTAAGTACTGTTTCAATGCAGAATAAAAATGCAGAAAATACAACAAATGGTTCTAAGACTCTGGAAGCTAATGTGACAGGAAAGAAAATAGACAGTAAACCAGAGAAAGACTTGCCGTTTTTGAATAATAGCTATAAAATGGAGAGATCAAGGACCACAGTTAATTCTCAGGATTTAAGAAAAGGGAAATCTAGTGCTTTTAGGGTAGATAATGAGAACAGACTGTCGGACAAGACTGACAGGGACAGGCCTGACTCGTATAAATATGATCTAGAGAAACCAAAACCTATAATTAATGACAAAGAAGGAATAAGTGTTACTAGAGATGGTAGGAATCTTAGATTAAGTGATGATAATATCAATTCAAATTCAAGAGATTCAAGGTTATTAACTAACGGTTCAAGAGAGCGGTCAAGTCACGTCCGAGGCTCAACTGGACGACATAGGAATAAAGACGCTCAAAAGGGAGCTAAAGGTAAGGACAGAGAAAACTATAGGAAAAGTATCCTTCTTATTTCTAACTCATTTTTGTCAGACTTGCTGTTTCACACTGAATCTTTAGGTTAATTAACAGCTCATTGGCTTTTTATCAAACATGCAAATTAAAAACGAAAAATGAAGACAATTTGACCAAAAGTTAATGCTTTGCTAATGAATTAACATGAAATGTTCCGTAAAGATTTCTTAATAGCTTTTGAAACTCTTTCTTCATTAAAGGCACATTATGCCTCAGAAACGAAGGAAATTTTTACTTTATTAGAAAGTGCAAACATTAAATATATAACATCTAAATAATGGTATAAGAGCATGTTAAATGCTTGTTACCTAAAAAAGTAGCACGAAATGTGAAATAATTTGTCACAAAAGTAACAAAATGTAAACATAGTAGTATTTTGACTTCCATACATAACACAAAATCAATATTATTGTATTAACCGCCATTAATATTTATTTATTCATTTATTTATTTTCATAGAAGCAGCCTTGCCAAAACCAGCACCCCCTAGTCAAAAATACCTTGAAGGTTACACCCAGAATGAGTCACCGTGGGGATCGCGTACAGTTCCTAGTCCAAGATCTTCTAAAGATGGTAATATGATGGACTCCGATTGGCTGTCTCAAGTTAAAAGGTATATAATTAATTGGTTTACAATCTATCCTCTCTCAGATAATTATTCAATTAATTCACTTTTTTACGTATTTTGTCACATTTATAAACAAGTGGTTATTTAAGTTGCAAAAAAAAAAGTGCTTCTGTTTTCCGTCTTCTGTCATATATTTATATGCTTATATAATTTCTATTTTGTCAATAACTAAAAGCACAGCCTTGGTTTGTTTCACAAGTTAAGAAAATAATACAATATTGTGATTGAATTTGAAATAATATGTGCTGGTATTTTATTTTGAATATTCACTAAACAGATATTTAAATGATCTGTCTTTTTGTCTGTTTAAAGCTATATTTACTGAGTGTATAAAACAGTTGTCTGTCTAAATCTATAATAACTGAATAGGTATCATTTGTCTATCTAAAGCTATAACTAACAAATTGAAATAAATAATTTGTATGTCTCAATATTGCTTGACAATAAATTATTTGTATGTATAAGGCTATATTTACTGGACAAAGCTATAATTACTGAATTGCTATGTGTTCACTTGCCTGTCTAAAGCTTCAATTACTGAATTGTTACATGTTAATATGTCTGTCTAAAGCTTCAATTACTGAATTGTTAATTTGTCTGTAGAAAGCTACAAAGCTAAAAGGGTATAAAATATTTGTATATCTTAAGCTGTTTTACTGAATGTTTTGTCTGTCTAAAGATAAATTTACTAAATAAGTACAATTTATTTGTATGTCTAAAGCTATATCTGCTGATTGGCTCAAGTCATTTACCTGTCTTAAACTATAATTACTGAATAAGTCCTATCTATTTGTGTGTCTAAAACTTTATTTGTATGTCTAAATGGGTTCAAGATATTTGTATGTGTAAAGTTTTATTTGTTGTTCACAAGGGATTCAAGATATTTATATTTCTAAAGCTTTTTTTATGACTGTCTCAATATGTAATTCATATACTATTTGTATAGCTAAAGCTTTACTTGTATGTCTAAATGGGTAATACATTCAAGATATATATCTGTCTAAAGCTTTATTTGTTATAATGTCTCAATATGTATACTTTATTTGTATGTCTACAGATTTACTTGTATGTCAAAATGGATTCAAGATATTTGTCTGTCTAAAGCTTTATTTGTATGTCTCAATATTATGTATACATTATTTGTATATCTAAAGCTATACTTGTATGTCTTAATTTTTAATGTGTTCAAGATATTTGTCTGTCTAAAGCTTTATTTGTGTATCTCAATGGGTTCAAGATATTTGTTTGTCAAATGCTTTATTGATATGATTTGTATAAGAAATTTATTGCAAGCAAGTTTTTTGTCTGATGAAGCACATTTTAATAGTTTGACTGTCATTCTGATGAACACGGAGGTTTTTTTATCCATGTGGTCATATTTTCTTGCCAGGTCTGATACTCGTGCCTGTGCTTAATACGGAAATAAACATACGTTGAAATAATAACTACATATTATTTGAACTCAAATTTTTATCAATGTTTTCATTTTCCTATAAACAATTTTATTATGATAATCGCCAGGAAATATTTAAATGTCTAAACAATTTGTTTTGCTTTATATCAGTTTTGAATGAGGAATAAATGGGGATCAAGATTATGGTATATAATAGTTTGTATTGTATGTTTAAAAGTGCTTGTTAACGTTGTGTTATATTTTTAGTTTGAATATAATTGAGGAATTGTGGGGCTCACTTTTTACTCACTTAGGCATTGGCCCCGACACTATGTTAAAGTTTTGCATGCAAATTTATGTGTCATTCTTCACTGAAGATATTCATTTAAAAAAAACTTCACACATGTCTCTGGAATCATATATAAATTTTGCAGATTTATGCACCAAGACCCTTAATTCTAGAATGGATATTTTTACAGAATTATAGCCCTGAATTTAGAAAATTCATGGGTAAGGTTAAGTTGTCTTAATCGGATGATCTTTCCTACAATTGAAGGCATTTACATGAGGTCCATTACCAAGACCCATAACTCTTACATGAATTATTTTATGAAATTATCCCCCCTTTGTGAACTAGGAAAATACCTACTTGTAGTTGTTGATTGTTTCACTAGCTAGCACTGAGAATAGTCAAGCATGTGGTCCAATTTTTGTTGTGATGATCGCTGTCATAACTTGGCTCTTTTAGGTGTTCCATTTACTTGTGAAATTATGTACATATATATATACATACACATGCATATGATTTCAAAATGTATACCACTGAAATGTCATGCCGTAATTCAAAAGTTATAACAGATAAAACAGATAAAATGAAAAGATGTGATAAGGCTAATAAAATAAAAAGACTTAAAATTTTCTTTTGCTGCCCTGGTGCATTTAAGTTTACCATTATGTGTTCTACAGTAGGATCTGAAGGTGATTGGTTGATTAGGTGATGACCTCCAAATGCTTTGAGTTTGATTCATAAAAATAACATAATGCATTCTTGTGAGGAACCTCAGACTGTCTTAGTAAAAGTAACTTCTACTCAGTCCCCATTTATGTCTGAAATATTGAAGAGAGGTATGGGTTAAAATCTTACTCCATTTAATAGTATAATAGTATATAATCTAATCAGTTTCAATCTGAGTATACAAAATGTACACATTTGAGTGGCAGCATGGGAAAGAGGTTAACGCGTCAGACTAGTAATCTAATAATTGCTTGCCACATTGTTTCAAACCCTGTAGTGGGTAAACCATTGTTTCCATGAGCAAGAAACTTTACATTCATTGCTGCTTAGGACTGGTTGGTTCCAGGAACAAATTCATGAGTGTTTCAATAAGCTTCACATAACAGCTTCAGACACAGTCAGACTAAAATAAATTAGTATAAACTAGGATATATTCATGTAAAATCTTATGTATGAATTTGATCCTTTATGGCAATGCCACTTCTTTATGCCTCTTTCCTCTTTTGATATATAATTAACTGATAAAAAATGTTACCAATTAGGTTTGCATACAATGTAATATTGCAGCATGTTATTTATAATGTTCAATGTTTCAATGTTTTGAACCCTTACCCTGCCGGAACTTAAAGTGATTAGGCTTTGTCACCAGTATAGAGCCAGGACACAGGCCAGTCCAAACATCCATGCTGTCTGACCAGGCTTTACACTGTTGACTGAATAACTTCAAATTTTCACCTTGATACCACCATTGATATATTGATATTTTACAGACTGTTCAAAAATTAAAACTTGACAAGACTATGCAAGTGTATAAAGCTATATCTGATGAAATATTTTATAAAAATATTAAAATGAAGTACTTAATGTCTTCATAAACTTCTGGTCGCATCCTTATAGATTTGTTACATTGACTTTTTTTAGTAGTTAATTAATATACATGAATGATATAGACGTTAACAGAATAAAATGTTCCGGAGCAAAATATATGTATTATGTTTCTATTCTTAGCCGAGGTTTTGGTGATGATTTGACACACATGCCCATCTCGGCTTTCAAAAAATAAAGTGAAAAAATCTTTCATATTTGGCATTCTGCAATAATTTTAATCACAATATATAATTAATTTTACAAAACCAATAAGACTGTCAGCCAAATATGTTACTTTTTACACTTTAAAGATATTCTGCAGGATGAGGGTTGAAAACTGTGTTAAATATGTATAAATATAATTGAGCCGTGTCATGACGAAACCAACACAGTGGGTTTGCGACCAGCATGGATCCAGACCAGCCTGCACATCCGCGCAGTCTGATTAGGATCCATGCTGTTCGCTATCAGTTTCGCTACTTGTAATAGGGTTTGTAAGCAAACAGCATGGATTCTGATCAGACTGCGCGGATGCGCAGGCTGGTTTGGACCCATGCTGGTCGCAAACCCATTATGTTGGTTTTGTCATGACGCGGCTCAAATGTTTTCTTTTTACAGTGTTTCTGAGAGTTATACCCGTCCTTTTGCTCACCCTAATGCCATATCGAACCCTGCTGACAGCACTTATTTTATTGACCCTTCACAGTTTTTACAAAGGACTAACACTTATATATCTTCACACAGGTAAATGTCGAGCACATGTTAAACACAACGCTATGTCTTTGCCATTTCATCATTTATGCTTATATATATGTATATCTGTCTAAATGTATATGTACCACTGTTTAACAAATTCACAAAGAACACTTGCCATGCTTTTTACTTCCCTCGTGTGATAGTACAATTTTCTTCAGTTAAATTTTCTTGATATATTTTGGCGCATCTGGAGGCATTCTGCTTTAAGCATATTGCTGATTTTTCCTGACTTTTAAATGATAAATTTGTGAACTGTCAACACTCAACAGGAAGTTGGGAATAAACATTTTGTTATATTTGCAATGTCATTTAAATTTCTGATAGGCTCTGAGCAAAACTGCCACAGAACTATTTTCATCAAATGCCATGGCTCAATTTCACAAAAAATCGGCACACCACAGCCGGGAGTCGTACAACTTGTCTATGGATTGCCGGTTAGCATACTGGACCGGCAATCCAGAGACCAGTGGTTATACTTATATAATACAGTGATACTCTTTTGTGTGTAACATTGATAAGTGGTTTTAAAAGTTTAACAGGAAGTAAGTTCTTTGTGACTCAGTGAACAGAGGAGGGGAGCTAACAGGGGTAACATTTTGGACTATAAAGTTTTGTACGAAAATTTAACTACTTAATATATATATATAGCTGTCTTTAAGCACATAATTGTTGAAGTTTTTCATTTTGAACATATTGAAAAACCCTATATGATTATCTGAAAGGCTTGGCAAGTGTATAAACACCATACAAAAATCATCATTATTTAAAAAAGAATTTTTTTTTTTTTTTTGAAAATTTATGAAGAAATTTGTTTATATGACTCAAATCATTAACATTTCATGTCATGTCATCACATATTAAGCATAGAGATGAAAGGGGCATTGCTGTGTTTTTGTTGTTGTTGTTATTGTTGTTTATTGTTGTTGTTTGCATGTTGTGTAGGTGTAGGTCACCCCAGGACATGCATGATTCCCGAACTTCTCATTTCTTGTTGTTGTTTAAAATGTTTGCAACATTTATCATGTTTTCCTGCTGATTTTTCTATACAAGCTAATGATTCCCCGATTATGACAGGTCACGGCTCCTACAGCCGTTAAAGGAGCTGAACGAGGTACTTGTTGATGTGCCTATGACGCAGCTTGAACATTGGTCAGAACGCAAGAGGTAACTGCATGTTGCATGCAGCAGAGTGATCTATATAGCCAGACACACATACGGACATACATTTCTGATAGTTTACAGCCATATAAAGTCAACTTTGATCTTATGCTTCAAAGGGGGAAATGTTTAGTTTGCACACTGCACAATTCTGTCAATTTATATTTGATTTAAATAATTTGTAATTTGATCATTTCAGAGGTTAAAAGATATTATAATATTAGAAATAGATATGGATTTGGAAAACAATGTTATATTGACTATGTATGATTGTATTGATATATTTCTTCCAAACCTGTCTTATTAGATCACCTCTGGGAGATCCATTGCAGTGGTCTCTTGAAGTATCCTTTCTTTGTTCACAAATAAAACATTTCAAATACTATAACTGATTATACATGTATACACATGGTGGAGAAAGTGGAGGGGTGGGGAAGCTCCTTTTTTTCTCCTAGAGATGGGGGTGGGGTGGGGAAGCTCCCTTTATTTTTCATAGAGATGGGGGCGGGGTGGGGAAGCTCCTTTATTTTTTTTCTAGAGATGGGGGTGGGGTGGGGAAGCTCCTTTAGCTCCTTTATTTCTCCTAAAGATGGAGGTTGGGGTGGGGAAGCTACTTTTATTTCTCCTAGAGATGGGGGGTGGGGGACCGAAGCTCATTCATCAAATGACTTTCATTTGTCCCTCCATACTGTGTATTTGCTTCACATGCAAGGGACTTTGAATTCTTTCATGGCTGTGATGGGATCTATCCAGCTAACTTAATAATAGGAAGATGTCTACTTATTTACTCATTTGTACAGTAAGAGGCACCAGTTAGAGCCTCCTATACAGTTAAAACTACCATATCACCAAGTGACCTTTGCTGTGAAGAAAAGATGTTAATTCCTTACCACAATTGGTCTTCAAGCACGTGGTTTTACTGTAGAATAGTTTTGTTTGTTTATATACATGAGGATAATTTGATATCTTGTATATAAAGTGATATCATATGGCTGTATACTAACAGTTTAACTGTATGTTTTTTAATCAGAATAATGGAGTTTTGATGTTTTTATTATGTTGTAAGTGTTATATACTTTACTATTAGGCAACAATTATTTACTGTGGACTTTATAGGGTCTGTTAAGACTGCATTGACCTACAGACTGGACTGATTGAAACAGTTTAATGGCCAGAAATATGTCTGGTTTTCATCATGATTTTTATTAAGAGTTCAATAGTCTGATCAGCTCATAAATTGAGCATAGAGTGAGATTTTTTTATATAAATTTTAATGGCATGAAATTTTAAAAGAATACTATGAAAGCACTTGCACCCTTTTATGTGACTATACTCGCAGATGATTTTGCTTGAGCTTTTAGAGAGGTTTTTTTTTTTTTTTTCAAGCAAATTATATAAATGTATTATGTCCAAGGAAAAAGAGTAATTTTGAACTTTTAATGAAATAATGAGTTAAATAAATGTTATCAGTGTAAGTAAATGCATTTTTTTTATATCTTAATGAAAGTTATTCTGTCCTTCTTTGAAGAAGTGAGTCTATATTGCTCAAAACATGTATGTCGGTATGTATATGTAACAAAAACATGACTTTGAACAAGAGCTGGAGAAAGCTTTCAATCTATAGACTTTTGAATTTTTTGGGGAGGGACCTGTTAGATACAATAAAATTTCCCTGACTGATTTTTAATTGATATACACTAATGGAAAGTTAGGACTGGAAAAATTTTGAAATTTTTGTATACTGTTACGCATGAATAACAAACAGCGTCAATATATTAGAATTGTTTAAATTTTGTAAAAAAAAAACGGAAAAAAAAAAACGGATGTTTCATCATTTCTTGTTTTATAAACGTTATTTTTTTTTTGAAGGAGACTTATAATGGTGAAAGCTAAGAATGCTAAAAGCTTAGAAAAGTTTTTGTGTTTTTATTGAAAAGATTGCTTATATTAAATAAGATAAAAGTTCTAATAAATAGAGGATATTGAATGAGTGTAAGTTCAATACTGAATTTATTGCACGAGTTGAATAAAATTATATTATGCGAGCCTCTGGCGAGCATAATATTATTTTATTCAACGAGTGCAATAAATTCTGTAATGGTCTTACACGAATTTAATATTCTATTTATCACATGCCCAAAAAAAGACCATTTAAAGTGAAATAATAGTAAATTTCCATTGACGCGCCTGTAGTATAACGCTAACATTAAGCGCGTCTTTACAATATGTTTGTGTAACGCTAATGACGTCACGTCAAAATATATGCACGGCCGTGCAATACCATATTTACGGAGTCGCAAAATCGGCACGGGTGTGTGATAATCTGTTTTATTTTATACAATGTACTATTTTATAAAAACTTTTATTATATAATTTTATTTAAAATATACTGTTTCTAGCGTCAAGTCTGCAGATGAGAGGTAGGCTGTATTATAAGTTATACACCATTTCTTTATCAAAGTCTTTGAAAAAACGAAACATTCAGAACCTTGGTTAAGGCTGTAAGAATTCTTTTACTAGATTATATAACTATGGTGATTTGAACTGATTTTCCATGGTACTTCTGTATAAAATCTATGATTTTTTTTTCTTATTATTATTTTTTTTTTAGTTGATTTTTGATACTCTTAATAATTATGTTATGTTTATTTATCTGGAAAACACATTTTATTCTTGTTTTATTAGGTTTCATCTGTTTCTATATTTATATGCAAGTTTTACGCTGTGGTGAGGGATTATTAACCTTTTTTCGGACATTGTTGTCAGATTTTTGTGACATTTAAAATCTAATTTTCTACTAGAATCAGAATTGAATTGAACTTGGCACTGTCAGTGATCTGAAACTTGGCATTTTTGTCTAAATGTCTTGGTAACTTATGCTATGTTTAATACTTTTGAAATCCCCCTTTTTAAATTTTTTTTTTGTTTTAATATTTTTATTTTTGTAGACATAAAACAATTCGACCGTTTGTAGTGCGTAAAGAATCCGACACAAGGCTGGTACCTATATACCGTCAAATTCCTATTAAACGCCCCCTGGGACCTCTAACCTAACATTATCTAAAGGGGGTGGGGTTGGGCATTTATTAAAACACAGTTTTAAATAAGGTCCTAAATCCAAAAATCATTGTAAATATGCTTGGACTGTTAAGCATTGGTTTTCATATTAATGTTAAAAAAGGATTTTATCTTGGGGGATTCTTGGTGGGGGGACTTTTATTAGGAGAGGGGTGTTTAGTAGGAATTTTATGGTATCTGTGATGTATTCTAATCTGGTAGGCGGGCAGACGCTAATTGACTATCTCATTAATATATTTAATATTTGCTTAATTATTATACTAAAATAATAATTAATCTCTACATAATCTGATATATGTTAATAGTGTAATGAAATATAAATAGTGTAAGAAAACATATTATGTGATTGAGATTTAGTTTGTAATCATTATTACATGTAAATTTAGAAAAGCAACAAATACTTTCTTCTTAGTTAAATTTCTAGATAAGGACTAGTAATCCTTTAATGCACATCAGCTTAGTTTGTAATCTGTACAAATTATAAAATAAATGACTTATCTTCAATAAGAACAGTATGGTATAAAAATATTTTCATATCTTTAGTTTTTCCATGCTGTTCCTTGTAATTTTCAATTAACTTTCTTAATGTTGTAGTTTTAGAAAATCCAACATTTTCTTGTAGTAATTAAAAGCCTTTATTTCCCCTTTTAAAAAAAAAAAAGGAAACAAAAAAAAAAAAAGAAAAAAACAAGAAAATTTCTGTAGATTAATTTGTTCAAACTACATCATGATAGCTTAAAATAATACATGTACTTTGTATAATATTATTGTCAGTAATAAGTTCACTCTTTTACTTATTAATGCCCCCATTTCGAAGAAAAGGGGGCTATATTGCTTTGCACTAGTCGGTCCGTCGGTCCGTTGGTCCGTCGGTCCGTAGACCAAATGGTTTCCGAGTGATAACTAAAGTAAACCCTTAGGCCTAGGAACTTCAAACTTGGTATGGTGATTGGTCATGATCAGTAGATGATCCCTATTGATTTTTTGGGTTAAGGGGTCAAAGGTCAAGGTCCACATTGACCTTGTAAGCAAAAACGGTTTTCCGATCAATAACTAAAGAACCTTAAGGCCTAACCAGGAACTTCAAAACTTAGTAAAGGTGATTTCATGACCAGTAGATGACCCCTATTGATTTTGGGCAAAGGGTCAAATTTTCAAGGTCACATGACCTTGTAACAAAAACGGTTTCCGATCAATAACTAAAGAACCTTAAGGCCTAGGGAACTTCAAACTTGGGGGTATGGTGATTTTGGCCCCATGATCAGTAGATGATCCTATTGGATTTTTGGGGTCAAGGGGTCAAAGGTCAAGGTCACATTGACCTTGTAAGCAAAAACGGTTTCCAATCAATAACTTAAGAACTTAAAGGCCTAGGAAACTTCAAACTTGGTATGGTGATTTTGGTTCATGATCAGTAATGACCCCTATTGATTTTGGGGTCAAGGGGTCAAAGGTTCAAGGTCACATTGACCTTGTAAGCAATAACGCGTTTTAATTGATCAATAACTAAAGAACTTTAAGGTGCCTAGGAACTTCAAACTTGGTATTGTGATTGGTCATGAATCAGTATATGACCCCTATTGATTTTGGGGTCAAGGGGAGTCAATTGGTCAAACTGGTCACATTGACCTTCTTGGCTAAAAACACAGTTTCTGATCATTAACAAAAGAACCCATTAGGCCTAGGAACTTCAAACTTGGTATGGTGATTGGTCCATGACCAGCAGATGACCCCTACTTGATTTTGGGGTTTAAGGGGGGTCAAAGGTCAAGGTCACATTGACTTTGTAGGTAAAAACGGTTTCCCCGATCAAGTAACGGGAAAAGAACCCTTAGGCCTAGGGGACTTCAAACTTTGATATTGGTGATTGGTCATGAACAAGTAGATGACCCCTATTGATTTTGGGGTCAAAGGTCAAGGTCACATTTACGCTCTTAGGTAAAAACAGTTTTCTGATCAATAACTAAAGAACCCTTAGGCCTTAGGGAACTTCAAACTTGGTATTGGTGATTGTCAATGACCAGTAGATGACCCCTATTGATATTGGGGTTTAAGGGGTCAAAGGTTTTGAAGGGTCACATTTGACCTTGTAGGTAAAAATGCTTTCAAATCAATAAACTTAAGAACCCTTTGGCCTAGGAACTTCAAACTGGTATGGTGATTGGTCATGACAAGCAGGATTTACCTATTGATTTGGGGTCAAGGGGTCAAAGGTCAAGGGTCAAATTGACCTTGTATGTCAAAAAAAAAAAAAATGGGGTTTCCAATCAATTAACTAAAAACGCTTAGGCCTAGGAATTCAAACTTTGTATGATGATTGGGTCCGTGACCAGCAGTGACCCCTATTGAGTTTTTGGGTCAAGGGATCAAAGGTTAAGGTCATTATGACCAGTAGATACTTGATAACCCTTATTAATTGTTTTGATCACTGGGTCAGAAAGTCATGCATAATAACCTTTTTCACATGACATTGGCGGGGAAATGGGGGGCATACATTTTTTACAAACATATCTTTGTTTTTTCTGTACTTAAAAAATTAACCAAAATTTTTACCTAATAAAGAAAAAATTGTTTTTTTTTAAAAAATTTAAATGAGAAAATTTTCCCTTGGCCCAAGTTTAACTCTTTTAAGGGGTTTTTAAACAGGCTTTTGTTTCCATGGCTTTTTTGAAAAAATTTTCTTGATAGCCAAAAATGTTTTTAACCCCACAAGGGACCCATTTATTGTATATTTTAATCTATTTTTAAAAATTATTTTTTTCAATTTTTTTCCAAATTTTTGGAGGTCTCCCCATTTAAATTTTTAAACTAAAGGGTTGGATTTTTCAACTTTGACTCAGATTTGGGGTGAAATTTTGAGTTTTATTTATACTCGCCAAACCATTTTTGCCCATATGGGCGATTTCCTCCAGAAGGGGTTTTATCAATTTTTTAGATTTTTTCAAAAAGGGGAAAATTTTTTCCAAGGGTTTACAGAAACAGAAAATCCCTCCAGTTCCAAAAGGGCTTCCCCGGGTTTTTCTTTAACAGGGAAAGTTTTAAAACCCACTCTTTACACTGGAAACCTTGTTTAAAGTCTCACCCAAAAAGATTTGATTTTTAATTTTTTAATTTTCCCAAACCCCGGGAAAAATTCAAACCCACAATATCGAAAAAAAAAATTTTCAAACCGTTTTTTAAAGCTAAAAAAGGGGTTTGGGCTACTTTGGGACTAATGTTCCACTTAGTCCTTAAAAAAACCCACAGGGGGAAAAGCCCTGGACCTTTTTTCGGGGTTTTCCCCTTTTGAAAAAAAGTAAACTTTTAAAAAAAATTTTGGGTTCACTTTAAAACCAAAAAATGATTAAACCCCAAAATTAAATAAAAGTAGTTTTGGGTCTTTTTTTAAAAATTTAAATGGCCATTTTTTTTTTCTTTTTTTCCCGTTTTTTATTTTTTTAATATTTAGTTAAATTTTTAAAATTCCTGTGGGGTTAAAATTTTAATGTATAGGTACAAACAATTTTTATTGTACAGAATGGGATATTTTTTTAGTTTTTAAAGTTTTTGGAAAAAATTATATGGCCTTATTTTTAAACAGTTTTTTTCCCAAAAATAAGGGTTTATATAAAGGAAAAGGGGACCAAAATAATTTGGGGCAAAAATTTTTAAACAAAAAAATTTTAATGCGGGCAAACCACCCCCCCTTTTTTCAAAGAAAAAATAAAAAATTTAAAATTTTCAAAAATTTGGGACAGTAGCCATGTATAATTAGTAATATATAAATGTCCCCGATTACCCCAAAAAAAGTAAACTTTTACATACATGCAGGGGTTTTTTTAATGAAATGGGTAAATAATAAAAAATAAATATAATATTGTATGTGTATAAATATTAATATGATAATGTAAGCTGTTTTGCTTTAAGATCAAGTGTGCTGTGTTTTTGTGGTGATTTGTATTTATATTATACATGCAGTTTCTGAACAGATTTGGATTGTGCTTATATGTGAGGGCAGATTAATCAAAACATAATCAGAAGACCATTTTTATTATGTGACATAAAAAATTTCAACCATGTATTAAAATTTGTTGATATAAATTATAACTGTTTACTGTTGATTATTCATAGGTTTTAGCTAAAAAAATTTTAATGGACTATTTTGAAAGTGAAAACACATTCTAGGCATCTATGCATTAGAAGTGTTTAAAATAATTAGACAATGAGGGATTATATCAAAAATTTTTAAAAAATTGTCTTTTTTCCCTTTTTTAATTTTTTTCCTTGGAAAAAATTTTAAATTGGAAAAATTTTTTCCCCAAAATTTTTCGGGTAAAAAATTTTATTTTTAAAATATGAATGTTTTTAAACCGTCTTTAAAAACTTTTAATTACTGTTTTTCCCTTTTTAAAATAGTTAACAAAACCGAATCCACCCTTATTGCTAAAATTTTAAAATTTATTTGCCCAATTTAAAAAAATTTCATCCCATTTGCTGGTTAATTTTAAATCAAAAAAATTACATGTATTTTTTTCCCATAGCTGTAAATTTTTGGGATCAAATTTTATCACCCCCAAATTAAGCGGGTCAATTTGGGGAAAAAAAAAGGCTTTTTATTTTGGGCCTTTTAAATTTTGAAAAAAAGGGAAATCATTACATTTGTTTGTCTTTTTTTGGTTTTAAAATATATTTCTCCCAAAAAAGCTGCCCCAATTTTTTGATAAAAATATCATTTTTTTTCCCTTTTTCCCAGTTTTGTAATAAAAATTTTCATTAATTTGCAGCCCAAATTTGGGATAAAAATTTCATCCCAGAATTGCTGCCCAATTTTGATAAAAAAAAATATATTAAATTAGCGAATATAAAATAAAAAAAATTAAAAAAATTTTTTAAAGACCCAGGGGGAAGAAGGTCGCGGGGAAAAAACTTTCAAAAAAAAAACCAATAAAGGGGTTTAAAAAAAGTCCCCGGATGACCTCCAAAATCCGGCCCGTCAGCCCAATTTTGGGAGTTTGATAATTCCTGTTTCATCATTAAACTTCCCAAAAAAATTTTCCAATTCCCCTTTTCCAAACTTGGGGTTACTTCAACCAAAAAAATTTCCAAATTTTGGGGAAATAGGGCAACTTCAGCGTGTAAATACAACATTGATGGGAGATTTAACAGGTAAAGTTTTATACATGTAGTTACATAATACTCTTATTAGGAAAAAGATTATAATTTTTGAGGGCATCTATGTAGAATAATTCATGGTTCAAGTTCAAATGCGCAGGAATATTATCACAAAAGCCGATAAACCTGAGTGATAATTTCAAAGCATTTGAAAGATAAACTTTTGCTTTATTATACTTAAATGCAAGAAACATTAATATCTATTTCCATCTAATCTTGCTAATAAAAAACAGATTTGATAAAGATATTGTGAACTACATTGAAATAATTTTCCCGACATCATTTTTTGTTTTGTTGTGTTTTTTTTGTTGTTGACATCATATGGGAAATAGATAACAATTTTGAGTGCATTGTTGTAGCATAATTTACAGTTTGAGTCCTTTGTTATTTCAGGAGAAAATGGTATTTTATTCAGTATTTCATTATTTCAGATGATAACACAATCTCATAAAATCATTTTCTAACTGTTGCTCCACTACCCTTTGCTAGGTAGCAAAGAGTAACGGAGCGAAAAACGATGATCTGATTTGAATTAGATTTGGTGATGACAGTATTTCATTCAGTATTTCCATTATTTCAGGTGATAACAGTATTTCATTCATTATTTCAGGTGATAACAGTATTTCATTTTTTCAGGTGATAACAGTATTTCCGTTATTTTAGGCGATAACAGTATTTCATTCAGTATTTCATTATTTCAGGTGATAACAGTATTTCATTATTTCAGGTGATAACAGTATTTCATTATTTCAGGTGATAACAGTATAAATTCAATATTTCGATATTTCAATTGATTACACAGTATTTCAGTTAGTATTTCATTTCAGTTTATAACAATAGAAATTCAATACTTTCAATGTAAGGTGAGAATTTTCTAATTCAATATTTTGGTTATTTCAGGTGATAACAGTATTTCATTTCGTCGTGTGGAAGCTCTCACAAGGTCTCATACTCAAACAGACTTCAAACCTCAATCACAGTTCCAGATTCCTCCAGAAAATCGAAGAGATCTTGGTATACCATTGAATAAAGATCACAAAGACAGGTACTGTTATAAAGAAAATTGTATACATTTATATTACTGAAACAGAGGGCTTTATGACCATAGAAAGAAATAGGTACAACGCCTTTGATTTAATGAAATGATAGTTCAATTTCTTGGCAGACGGAAAATAAACATGATCTGGTATATATGGTGGTTCTTGAGGTTGCAATTAGAGAATAAAGCCCTGTGACTATGCGCGATGTAGGCTTTAATTATAAGTATTTATCGGAAGATAATTTTTTCCATATTTTAAGAACAGAAATTGATTTATTAAATAAAACTTGGATGACGAAATATTGGGAGTTTAACTTTTATTATTTTGCCTTTAGAAACTAGAAATTAAAAAATTTATTGTCATAATTTTATTGTAATATAGGCAATTTAATGATGTGTATTACCTACATGTACTTTAGAAAAATATTTTTCTTTTAATTTGTTTTTCTATTAACTTTAATTTGGATGATTCACTGTATATCTATAATTGTTTTTGCGGTAATTAGTAACAGGGAAAGTTGACATATTGCATAGATAATTGATTGTCTTTCCTATAGAGTTACAAGGAAGATGAGCGGGTCACCGGGAAAGTCGCACAAACTAGGCGGGTCTGCTGTAGGCCCACACCAGAGGAACAAGGAGCCGGACTCAATGTTGTTACAACAGTCCTGGGGTATAAACGGCTCACCAGATCTTGGTGCACTACAGAATGTCAGATAATCTAAGGAGTCTGATCAACCATTAGCCTGATTGCACCTATATTGGTTCTCCGGTTAATGCAGACCAGCCATCACATCTGTACAGTCTGACCAGGCTCTATAGTACTATTGGTAGCTCTGCTTTTGTAATTTTATATTGAAATCCGTTAAACTTTGAATGGACTGTTCCAAATTTTAAGCAGGGCAAATGCATTTTAAATATTCAGGATAATGGTAAACAAGATAGTGACATAATATCTCACATACCCGTGCCGATTGTGCAACTCTGTAAAAATGGTATTGCACGGCCGTGCATATATTTTGATGCGACGCCATTGATGCTATAGAAACATAATGCAAAGACACTTTAATGTTAGCATTAAAATTCAGGCACATCAATGTAAAAATGATTCTTTATAAATAAAAACAGTCTTTATTTTGGGTATGTGATAAATAAAATATTATATTGGTGCAGGTTCATTTACTGAATTTATTGAACTCCTTGAATACAATATTATGCTCATCAGAGACCTGCATAATAGGATTTTATTCAACTCCTGCAATAAATTCAGTATTGAACCGACACTTATTCAATATCCTCTATATGTAACCCAACATGGCTAGCTTGACATTAAATGAATTACCTCCCCTGTTGCTAGCATGACATGAAATGAATTACCTCCCTTGTCTAAATGAGTAAAGCATTAAAATTGTTGCATTGTGAAATGGAAAGTTGCCTTAAATAAATATCATATATATTCTATATAACATTAATAAGAAATGCCTCACATATCATACAGCCTTTATATTATATCATATTGATGTAAAATTTATGAGGAAAAACCATGTCGGGTTTTTTTTTTTTTTTTTTTTTTTTTTCGTTTTGGTGTTTTTGTTTTTTTTTCTTAATGTTTACTTTGTTGTTATTGTTGTATTGATATAAGCATTATTAGGGGATATTCAATTGTACATAAATTGGAAATAAAAAGCATTTATCTGTAGAATATTCATTTTCATATCTGTTCAAAAGTATTTGTAGAATTGTATTGAATTCTTTAAAGTCATTTATTTTTCACAATGTAATTAGTCATGTTTGTTTGGTTCAACTGTTAATGGATGATGTAGCCTCTGAGTTTGCCAAAGTTATGCATTGTGCTGCACAGTCATTCACGTAAACTTATGCATTAAAGATATTCATTTGGAATCGTGCTTAGCATGAGAGAATAGTAAAATTTGTGCATTAAAGACATCCAGTCAATATCATTCTCAAATACATTCAGTTACAAAGAGGCATGCATGCTAGACAACAAATCAAAATCATGGATAACTACATTCATTCAAAATCATGCTAATAGTCATCCATTCAAAATTTCACACAAATACATTGAGTTTTAACTATTCACAAATACACATTAATTCCAACTTATGCATAAATTTATTCAGTCAAAATTATGCATGAATTCATTCTGTCAAAATTATGCATAAATTTATTCATTAAAAATTATGCATAAGAATAGCCAGTCAAAATTATGCACAAGTACATTCATTAAAAAAATATGCACAGATACATTCAGTCAAAAATATGCACAAATACATTCAGTCAAAATTATGCACAAGTACATTCATTCAAAATTATGAACAAATACATTCAGTCAGAATTATACACAAATACATTCAGTAAAAAAACCTGTTTTCAAAAAGCGTTTATTTCACCATTTATTTCAATGTTGTGTCTATCTGAAAAAATGAAGTGCAAGCATATAAAAAGTAGGTCATTGACAAAGTTAGTAAGTCACAAATAAGAAAAGAATTAAATAGCTTCAGTCTCTTGTATGTCGCTCAATACAGAGCTGTGTTGAATAGTTTAATTCTTACCATCTAACTATTACATAATTTATATAAAAACTTCATAGGCAAATGCAGTAGAATTTTACATTTACAGTTCTGGCAGCCATAGGCTTAAAGACATTATATTTTTGTAACACATGTACAATGAAAAAAATATTTTCTTTGCAAAAACTTCAGCTTTTGTGAAATTATAGAACTGAGTTATTTCCCCTGACTTGTACAAATTAGAAATTAACTAAATAATCAAGGAAGGTATGAAGAACAACACATCAAATTAGAAATTACTGTGCACAATATTTTACACCAAGTTTTATCAAATTTTCAAGAAAACACGGAATTGTAGGATAAAATAAAACGTGTCTGAATCTACCTCAGTGGGTCAAAATGGTTTTGATTTTTTTATTGTAGATCTTTGTTTAGGTTTTGGATTTGAATATTAGATTCAGGTTTTTGTTTGAGATATTTTTAGACAATGTAGAATAAAGTGCTTGCTTTGATTTTATTCTCACACTTATTGTCAATGTAGCTTAATTGAATGTGAAGAAAATGAAATATTTTACTTTACTGAATGTTAATACGAGTAGAACACTTTTTGTTATTCGCTGGTGTGTTAAAGGAGGGTAAAAAATCATGTTTTTCATTCAGAGATTCTTGTATTTAAACCTTTTTTTCTTTAAATATTTTTAATGTTTGTGGTTCTTTGTTATTAACAGCTTCTTGTTTGTAATGAATGTTAAAATTCTTTCCGTTTTTTGGCCATGAATTACTTAACATTAAAACTGCTGTGATGCAGTATAATGAAGTCGCTGAAAAATTTGAAATTCATGGATATATATTGACATAATTTGTTTCCAGATAATTAGGACTCTACAATACATTTCTATCTCATTTCACTAGAAAACTTGAAAAAAACAAGTTTACTTTACAAAGTCATCAACATAATTTTTTAATGTTCTGTTCCCTTTTTTTTTTGCAAGTTCATAAAAACATAACTGTGTTAGTCATTAAAATGTAGATATAAATTCATACAGGTTTTTGTGTCGATTTTTGCTCCTGTTTTTTCTTTTTGTGTGCATTTAAGATTATAAAATCTGCTGTGATATGCCTTTTACTGTTGATTATTTATAATGCTCCCCAAAAGGAAAAAAAATTATGTAGGAGCATAATAGTCGATAGTTTGTCTGTCCATGTGTGTTTCAATAATGTTCACTTTTATATCTGGTAATGTAGTCACTGTTCTATGGAAACTCTTCCCGTCGATAAACCTGGGTTCCAGTCTTGTATTTTTATGTTTTTATGTGCTTCTGTTCAGCAAATCGCTGATACTATCAGAGAATGTGACGTGCTGACGAACGAATACGAAATAGCGCGTATGACTTTGTTACGAATAAGCAAAAAATATCATTAAGGTTAAAGTGACATGGTCAAAGTATTTAAGGTTAAAGTGACATGGTCAAGGTCATTAAGGTTAAAGTGACATGGTTAAGGTTAAAGTGATATGGTCAAGGTCATCAAGGGTAAAGTGACATGGTTAAGGTTAAAGTGAAATGGTCAAAGTCATTAAGAGTAAAGTGTCAAGGTTAAAGTGGCGTGGTTAAGATCACTAAGGGCAAAGGTTAAAAATTCATTTTTCAGCTTTTTCATGAAGTCTCGCAATTTTTTGTGAGCTGTGTTGGAAATGTGTTGGGGAGCATATATCCATCACTGATTATTTGTATTTTACAGATATTTATTTTTAGTACTATATTTAAGTCATGTGATAAAGTCATGCTTTATAAAGCTTTCGTTCCTCTGTGTTATACATTTTATAAAGTTTTATCTATATATATGCTGTTCTAGTAGTTTTATGGCATGTTTGTTTTCTTTTTCTCACATTTCTTAACATTTATTTTGCAATATGCAAATTACAGCTATTTCATTTTTAATATGTCAGTGATTATTTTATATTTATAGATTTTTCATTGTTTATAACAGATGTATAACAAGCATAAACCTCATTAAATTTTACACAAGAAAGTTAAAACAAATGTTTGAAAGATTTATATATATGGCCTAGTAGTCTGGTAACTTCTGTGTGATTGACCTAGTGGTCTGGTAACTTACTGGGTGATTGACCTAGTGGTCTGGTAACTTTCTGTGTGATTAACCTAGTGGTCTGGTAACTTACTGCCTAGTGGTCCAGTAACTTACTGTGTGATTGGCCTAGTGGTCCAGTAACTTACTTTGTGATTGGCCTAGTGGTCTGGTAACTTACTGTGTGATTGGCCTAGTGGTCTGGTAACTTACTGTGTGATTGGCCTAGTGGTCTGGTAACTTACTGTGTGATTGGCCTAGTGGTCCGGTTACTAACTGTGTGATTAAACTAGTGGTCCGGTAACTTACTGGGTGATTTACCTAGTTGTCCAAGAACTTACTGGGTGGTTGGCCTAGTGGTCCAGTAACTTACTGTGTGATTGGCCTAGAGGTCTGGTAACTTACTGTTTGATTGGCCTAGAGGTCTGGTAACTTACTGTGTGATTGGCCTAGAGGTCTGGTAACTTACTGTGTGATTGGCCTAGTGGTCTGGTAACTTACTGTGTGATTGGCCTAGTGGTCCGGTTACTAACTGTGTGATTAAACTAGTGGTCTGGTAACTTACTGTGTGATTGGCCTAGTGGTCCGGTAACTTACTGTGTGATTGGCCTAGTGGTCTGGTAACTTACTGTGTGATTGGCCTAGTGGTCCGGTAACTTACTGTGTGATTGGCCTAGTGGTCTGGTAACTTACTGTGTGATTGGCCTAGTGGTCTGGTAACTTACTGTGTGATTGGCCTAGTGATTGGCCTAGTGGTCCAGTAACTTACTGTGTGATTGGCCTAGTGGTCCGGTAACTTACTGGGTAATAAACCTAGTGGTCTTGTATCTTACTGTCTCAGTATGAGTGTTGAATATTATACAGGTATACAGTTAAGCTGTTAAGCAAGGAGTGTGAAAGATTACATGTTACTTTTAAGCTGTCTTTCTATAAACTGCTTGTTTAAGTGATATAGTGCTGTCCTAGTGTAAGTGATTTAGTAGTGGCCTTTAATGCCTACCTAGTACGAGTGATTTAGTGTTGGTATATTGAAAGTGAACTTAGTGCTGTCAATGTGATTTATTCAGTGCCAGTATACTGTCACATAGTGTTGCCTCAGTGCATGTGATTTAGTGTGTGTGATTAACTGTTAGCTTATTGAAAGTGAACAAGTGTTTTGTCAGTGCGAGTAATTTAGTGTCATCAAATAATACCAACAGACCCTAGGGCATTTCTGCAGGATATCTATTAGTACATTTTGATTACTTTTTTTTTTTTTGCCAAAACAAGATTTACTATTTGCCACATTGATACTGTTAATGCATGTAGAGGTATTTTTAATGTTGTACAATTTT